TCTACTGAGGGTTCAAAATGACATTCTTTGTGCTTTAGATCGTAATGAGTCGGTCATACTGGTACTTTTGGATCTGTCGGCGGCGTTTGATTCGGTGGACCATACTCTTCTAGTGACAAGGCTGTCTACTTGTTTTGGTTTTCAAGGAACTGTGCTTAAGTGGCTGAAATCATACCTGTCTTCACGTAAGCTGTTTGTTAAAGTTGGGAATAGTCATTCTTCACAACGTGCATTGAAGTGTGGTGTCCCTCAGGGATCAGTTCTGGGCCCTTTGTTGTATTTGTTATACACATCACCTATTGCGGACATAATAAATGATCATGGACTATCATACCATCTATATGCTGACGACACCCAATTATATATTACCTTTAAATCTACCAGCTTGAATGACATCCAACAAGTGAAGTTGAGAGTGGAATGCTGTGTGAGGGACATTGATGAATGGATGATAAGAAACTATCTTAAACTAAACCAGGACAAAACGGACCTTGTAGTCATCAGTTCCAGATACCATCCCATGCCTGACATCGGTCACATTACTGTTGGTTCTGAGTGCATTGCACCTCGTGACTCTGTTCGTAATTTAGGGGTTCAGTTTGATAGCATATTTAGTTTTGAGGAGCACATTAAGAACATTTGTAAATCATCATTCTATCATTTGAGAAATATTGCTAAAATCCGCAAGTACTTAAGCCAAGATACATGTAAAATCTTAGTCCATGCATTTATTAGTTCGAAAATTGATCACTGTAATTCCTTATTACATGGCCTTCCTAAGTATCTGTTAGCTAGACTACAGGCAGTTCAGAATGCTGCAGCTCGTGTTGTCACATTGACACCGAGGCATGTTCATATATCTCCTATTTTAATTAATCTTCATTGGTTACCAGTTGAGTTTAGAATAACTTTTAAAGTCCTTTTATTGGTATACAAGGCCCTTCATGGCCTTGCACCTTCCTATATTTCTGACCTTTTGAATTTTAAAACATACTCTAGGTCATTGCGTTCTTCATGTAAAGAATATTTAGTGGTTCCAAGAAGCAGATTGAAAACATATGGAGACAGAGCTTTCTCTATTGCAGGACCTAAATTGTGGAACGATTTACCTCTAGAGATTAGGAAATGTGCTTCAGTGGCAACTTTTAAGCAATCCCTTAAAACTTTTTTATTTAAGTTAGCATATAGGTTATGAGATTCGTTTTGTTTTGAGATGTTTTTGATTTATATAGTAGATAACTTAGGCTATATTTGAATTATATTGTATATTGTAGATATTTTATATTATATATTTTTATTTTTTATATTGTAATTAGGTAGCGCTTTGGACAATTATTGGATTTTAGCGCTATATAAATAAAATTATTATTATTATTATTATTAATTGTAAACACAACTAAGCGTCAAATGCGGAAGTAAACGAGCCCTGTACTAAGTAAACAGGACTACGGACTTTGCCCACCTTTCACGGGAAAATCATACCACTACTGACATAACCAAGTTTAATATCTTGGCTTGCACGCCTCTCATCTTACAGTATGTGATTGGCTGCTTTCAGTCCTCTATCCTGCTTGTCAAAGATAATGGAGTGGGACTTGTCAGCCGGGGCTTTGGCAAACAAAAACGAATTGCCCATGACTGTTTGCTTTCCCATAGCAAGGTTGACGGATAAGATTACAACTTTTTAATTACACACCTCGGTCTGGCAAACATTTTTTGCTTGTCACGTCAGTCGCTTTCTCTGTTAACAGGTTAGCTATCATTCGCATAAGAAATGGAGCGTACTTTTTATCATTTTTGCCCCAGTTCAGCTAGAATCATTAACGAACTCAGGAAAGGTCTACGAAAGTATGTAAATCTTTTATTTTTTCTTCCAAAAGGACAGCAAAGTCACGCCATAAGGTAAAGAACTTACTTAGTAACAAAACACCTCAGAAATATGTCAATCATGATCAGCGCTTCTAAAATCTTAGTCGGTTATTTGATATAACTAAATAATGACCTTACTTTCCTTTAAAGAGTTCAATTCTTTTTTAGTGTTTTATTTCTCACCTTAAAGAATCTAAAGAGGAAAAGCAACACCAAGTTGAATACTATGAAACGTGATGACAGATGCCTGGACAGAATGAACGGGAATTGGCAAAGTTTGCAAACCCAGTTGATTTTTTCCCTCTTTCGATAACCTACAAACCCGAAGCCTCTTTGTTTAAAGCATGTAAGAAAGGAAAAAGGCATATTTGGAGCTGGTGCGTTCAATTAAAAAATGTGAAGTGGTCCGTTACTCGGCTACACTGATTTTCAATGAAATAATGATGATAATAATAATAATAATAATGATAATAATTTCAATTTCAATTAAAATCCTATTTACAATCTAATCCTCTTCATCGTCATCAATATTATTTTCGATGCTAAAATAAAAATGCGTCTTTATCGTTTAAGAGATAATTTTACACTAGCCCTAAAATATAATCATAATAATTTAATAAATTCACAAAAAGGTAGAAAGAAAAAATAAATAAATAAAAAGAGAAGGCATATATGAAACTTGGTAAAATTCACAAAACTACGTTGGACAGGCGGTAGCGTTTTCGAGGGAGAAGTCCAAGTCGATGATATGGAGGGTTCTTCTTATGGATCATGATCCTCTCAGGCATAGCAAAGCTGAACGAATGAGCGCAAATGACAACTTAGCTCTAACCCATGACATGGTGCTTGCATAGCTCTCTCCCTTCTTATTTGATACTAACTCAGCTAAACGTTTATGGTATATTTTACATTCTGTGCCCATTCCACCTGTTATACTAAATATTAAAGGCATAAAAGTTCCTTGTTTGACTTCCATGACCCTATTGGCATACTGACCTTTCTTCTCGCTCTCGTGCTGCCTGTAAACTTGCTCGGGAGTCTTTTCACGGTAGGATTTTGCATTTGGGTGGCATACCCGAACATCAAACAATGCAGATCTCTGTCGCTCCCAGAAACCTCGGGCGTGTATGTCGAGACGAGCGTCGGGAGCTCTGTTCGTACTCCTATTCAAGGTCTCCCCAGTTATCTGCTGAAGAATCGGCTTCACCTTGACATCACTAGATACTATGCGTAGCAGGTCAGCTTCTAGATCTTGAAGTTCGTTGTGATGTTGAATCACAAAACCACCCCTCCTGCAGATCATCGCATGGTCAACATCAAAGAAATCTCCGCATGCGCAGGTCTTCGGTAGATCGGCGATTTCCCAGCCATATCTAATCTTGATGGCGACTCTAAATTCTCGCTTGCTTAGATTGTAACCCAGATCTTTCATGGGTATAACAGTTAGCCAGCTCGAAGCGCCCTTTTCCCGCGATGCTACCTCTACCGCTCTCATAGATCTTGATATTAGGCTGTTCTTGACCAACTCTTGCGTCTCTTAGGAGCTCATTTTTCTTAGCTTGTGCATGTAATTTTGCAGAGCGCGTGTCTGCCGCATCCGGAGGTAGATGGTCTTGAGTCACAATGCGTGTCACCAGGGGTTTTGTGACAGTGACTGATGCCTCGTATTATAATGAGGATAATAATAATAATAATAATAATAATAATAATAATAATAATAATAATATGGCGGCAAGTAGTGTGGACGTGTTTTAGAGTGTTCTCATAAAAATCCGTTCCCATCGAAAGCAGGCCGAGTTTAGAGCGCCAGAGCATCCTTAAATAAGTATCAAGTATACTTTGCACATTGTTAAGCAGTTGTGCGAGACTATTTTGCATCTCTGAGCGGGAGTTTTAGTTGAGTTGATTTTGATTTTGTTTGGATGTGCGAGCGATTTGGGCACGTTGAATATTGCCCGGACTTTCAAGGTGGCAGTTTGAGTTCCTGTTAGAAGGAGGACCGTAGACACAATTGAAAAGCTTTTTAGGATAAGTTAATATACATTTATTTTTTACTCCATGGCTCACAGGTTACGGTTTGCGCCCTGTGCTGCCTGATTAGAATGTAGCATTTAGTTGATTTCTCTGCGACAATAATAATGCAGGAGCACTTCATTGGAGGTTGAGCGAGAAATTGCAAGAGCAGTTTATTGGAAGTTGTGCGAGAAATATCATCTGGACAAGAAGGATAAATGGTACGAATACGCACCCGACAGTGTAAGTAAAAATTAACGCTGTTAAATTACTCTGGGCCGTGAACATACAGTGCGACCACGTCATTGAAGCCAGAAGACCGGACATTGTAGTCGTAAATAAAGAGGAGAGAAAGTGCACCGTTATTGATATTGCCGTACCAGCAGATAAGAGAATTGGTGAAAAAAAAGAATGAGAAAATTGAAAAGTATCAGGATATTTAAAGAGAAATTGCAAGAATGTGGAACATGAGAACTGTACCAATCGTTGAAGGATCATTGAGAAGTGTAACAAAAAACTTGGACAATTGGGTTGGGAAAGTTGAACGTCAAAATTAGTATTCCGTTACTTCAGAAGACTGCGTTACTGGGAACAGCGAGGATTTTGAGAAAGGTGTTGGATACCTAGAGTAAAGAGAAAATCCTAAGGGACCCCTGGTCATGGGCTATGACTCGCTCCCTTAGGAAACAACCCTGAAAAAGATCATCCAGTTCGTTTTCTATGATGATGATGATGATGATGATGATGATGATAATAATAATAATAATAATATTTAATATTTATATTGCACGTTTTCTATAAAAAGTAATCAAATGCACATTGCAAACATTACAATAAATCCAAAATAAGAACACATTTACAATCACTATGAAATCAAAGACGAAAACTATACTATTATAATTGGCTATAAGAAAAGTAATTTGCAGAAAAAAAAACTATATAAAAATCTGAATACAAACTAATTGTACTAACAAAATGCCTTGCTGAATTAAGCGCATATCATGAAATACTTACAAACAATTAGCATAACCACTGACACCACCGCGGGATCAAGCTGAAATCCAATATGGCCGACAATCAAAGAGTAATTTCGTCTCCTTGAGAAATCGCGATCTGTTGGCTTTCAGCTGAATAGAAACGAATGAATTACAGAAATTTAGGTATTCGGTAGCTTTAAGACATCATCTGCTGTCCACAATGGTTCTGTTCGCGATGATTACGCGTGTTTCAGATGGAATGCCTTTGTCGGCTTCCACCGACCTTCACATGCATTTTGAGCGTAAAGAAAGCAAGAGGCTCGGCAAAAGTTTAGCAAGGAAAGCAAATCAGTATCCCACAAGATGTGCCATGCAATGTGGAAAACACATGATATAGTAAGTTGCTGAGTTGTTTGATCAATTGATCATGATCAGCAGGATAGCAATATGTGAAAAAAATACCATGGGGATCTGATGCTTTCTAGTTGAATTACGGGTATGTTTTTGTTTTTTTGTTTTTGTTTTGTTTTTATTTTCTTAAAATGTCAGTTGAACAACGAGCGCCCCTCATAGTTGAAATCATTTTATAAAGCAAGTACATGCAGAATACAGGGCCACTGAGGTCCACCTTGTCATCATGCTTTGAAGAGCGATGCAGAACACAAAGAGGAGGACACTTTACTATTAGAGTGTTCCATATGTATATACCTCCTAGCCAGGATTATTTCTAAATAGGGAGGGGGGGTTATGTAATGATACATGGGCATTTTTTGGACTAGCATTTTACACAATGGTATAGGTAATACCCATACTGGGTATTGCCAATACTATGAGATCTGATCAACTACCATCTCTGAAACCACAGACTGTCATGAAAGTCTGACAATTTTCACTAATGCAAGTGATTCAACGATACTTTACTGAACATGGAGGTTTTCAATAATAAATTATTTGAACACACTCCCTAAAGGTACATGAAAAGGAGAAGCAGGTTTTTTTTTTTTTTTTCATCCTTCCTTTGCAACTTGATTTTCCAATATCAAATCTTAATATTGCAATGTATGGGTGTAAGAGTAATTTTTTCATAAAAATAATTCCTGTTCTGTCATAAAAAATATGATGGGGAGCATTCCTATAAAACAAACTGGAAACTCATTACAGAAACCAACCTTTAGTGAGGTGGCTTGCTAGGTTAACAAAATCTTTACATTAGGTTGCATGCGCCTGACTGTTTACTTACAGTCCCCAGCTTCAGGGTAACCAGTGAAGAGTAGTGGGATGTTCAACATTAACCCTTCTCATCCTAAGATCAGTATGTATATTCTCCAAACTGTTCTCTATACATTTCCTAAGGTGCTGACAAGGAAAATTTGTTTATTAATCCAGAGCTTCTTTAGTTGATGATCATTTCCTTGATTCTCATCACTTTAATGTGTGACTCAGGGGAAATATATGTAAGGAGAAATTAGATGCTGGTCACTCTTAGGGCTGAAAGGGTTCACTGCTTAAATTTTAAAGTGAGGATTTGAGAGGTAGTCTGGAAAAAATGTGGGTCCATAAATAAAAGGTTTTTTTTTTGTGTTGTGTTTTTTTTTTTTTTTCATATTTTAGCTTTGTGAAGGCTGTTGGGGTTTGTTTCTTGGCTGTCTGTGAAGGAACCTATCCTGCTGTTTTGGTTTTCTGTTTCCTTGAAGAACTTCAGTGAGAGTTTGTGATGACATTTCAAAGTCATGCTGTTCAAATAGCAAAGAGACCATATTCATTCATAGAATTTGGTGAGCGATATTCGCTAATTTATAAGAATTTTGTGAGTTGCAGTGCATAACATATGATATGTTAATGTGTAGGAATTATTAAGATAGAGCATGCCAAAAAACACCAGGCATCAGGTAATTATTAAACTTTATGGCTTGAGAAGGACCAACAGTACAGAAATTGGAATGATTAAATCCTAAATTAATAATAGTAATATAGTTTATATCTGACCACTTGCAGCCCAGAGGCTGAATTACGGGTGCAGTTTAAGGTTGAGAGCAGACGTCAGCATATCATTAATAATATTATTAATAATATAATAATAATATAGATCGATTTCTATAGCGCATTCCCATGTAAATGCTCTAATGCGCTTTACAACACTTTGCGGGGGACTTTTCCAGACTGCCGGCGGCAGTTTATAATTAATAACGGAGAAATGGTTACAGATGCCCCCTCCCCCCCTTCCCAGTAAACAGGCCAGACCACATCACAGTAATCTCATGACGTGGGTTCTTTAACGTCCCCTGCCGAAATTAACTAATTGATAGGTGCAGGAGACGGGACCTATGGCTTTACGTCCTATCCGAGAAGACGAAGCAATGTGAGTGAAGCGTCTTGCTTAAGGACACAACGTCAAGCCCCAGCCAGGACTTAAACCCGGGCCATCTGACTTAGAGTCCAGAGTCCAGTGCACTGACCACTGGACTACTCACGCCTCACTCATGACTTTAATCTGTTCTTGATGAGCCCTTACACCTTAACATCAGTATACATATTCTCCATACTGTTCTTTATACATTTCCTGAGGTGCTGACAAGGAGAATTTGTTTAACAATCAAGAGCTTCTTTAGTTGGTGATCATTTCCTTTATTCTCCTGACCTTTGTGTGTGATTCAGAGGTGATATTGTAAGGAGAAATTACATGCTGGTCACTCTTAGCGGTCAGAGTGTTAAGAAATGAAGGATGCGACATTTATCAATCAAGTACCTAAATATGTTCTGAAAAGGAATGTTCAGGTCTCTTGAATTGCATATTGGCTTAAGAAATATCTGTATTCTGAAAACGTGTATCAGACGAAGTAGAAAGAAAAATATTGTTGTTAATGTAAGGTCAACATACATGACGTGTATTAAAAACACCGGTCCGTTAATTTTCTTTCAGGCCCAGCACGACGTCTTGAACCCCTGACATGGAAAAGTCTGACTGCTTGTGTTTTAGCAGGAATTTGCGAACTTCTGAACTTTCTTAGATGTTTGCCATTTTAAATGTTATAGTCTTTGATGATGAGGTGAGTAAATGATGTTTATACTGAACGAATAGCCAAATTCACAACTACAGTACCAGAACAGCCAGTAATTATCAAATGCATTTGTGCCGTACAAGTCTCAAGTAATTTACAATTCTCTACCAAGGTCCTAAAATTTAGAACTCTCTCCCCATTTCAGTCACTCGTTCGTCAAACTTTCTTAGTTTTTAGACTAAAATGCAAGCGTTTTTTACTGAAATAATCACTGAATTGGCTAATCCGCACATTCGCAGCATTTTTTCTTTGATTCATTATTGTAAGTGAAGTGGCTCTTCCATGAGCCCGTTGGCTTCCTTGGTCTCCACGCCTTCTAGCTGTCAACGCTGTAAAGAAATCTTTGTATTGTTAAAAAAAAGGCAAATAAAGATGACGATGATAGTGAAAATCCTACAAAAACAAGGATTATAACAATGCACGCACGCACAACAGAAGAGGAGGGTTATACCATAAGATACCGACACGCCAAGGATGACTGAAAATGCGCCTGTGCCTGTGTCTTTATTTGGATCTGTAGAGGAGAAGAAATACGATAAGTAATCACAAAATAAATTTATAAAGATCAAGAAGGAAGTAATTCGAGTGATAAGTAAACCGTTGCTGCGCTGCGCAGGCTGGCGACAGGGTCATCAGCTTCACAACTGTCACTTGCTTCTCTCTTACAATAAAACGAAATTTGTACATTTTTTGTATAATTTGCTTTTGAAATGCCGACTTAAGTGGGCAAAACTGAAAGTTTGCAGTTGTAGAAATAATTACTCGGAATTCGTCAACGTATTTCGCCAACACATTTCGTAGTATCAACACTCTCATTTTGTCTACTCGATGCAAGCTTTAGGACTGGTGTATTTTTACAACCGTTATACCTAGCTGATCATGTGAGACCCACTTTGTAGAAAAATTGGATTCAGTGCTTTAATTTGTTTTCTTTTTCGTTTTTGCCATCTTTATCACTATCATAAATGGATTTCCAAGTAGCCCTTGCGATAGTTTCTATCATTCCCAGACTTTAACCGAAGAAAACAGATTGTTTCTAATTATATCTTGATTATGCCTTTTTTTGCGTAGAATTACCTTTCTCGCAGCAATAACCAGTATAACCCTCTTGGCAACTACATGCTCCATTCATTAGGGTCCCTCCATTAAAGCAGGTCCTGCGTGGGCAGGCTCATGTCATTGTCAAGTCCGATCCGCCGGGACATGAACCTCCGCATCTCTCGAAAATAATCCGGTGACGAGTTCTATTCTGTCTTCCTGCTACATCACAATCTGTCGAACAATGACCCCACTCCGACCAGGAACTAAGTTGGCAGTCAACTGCTGGTGAAGGACCATCGCATATTTCCTCTACATATAACACAAGAAATTACGATTTAAGAAAACCTTAAAGGATCATCTCTAGAATAGGGTGCTCTGCTACTTTAAAAAAAGACTTTACTAATTTTAGTTCAATGACAAAGACAGCAAATGGTCTGAACCCGAGGGTAATATGCGAACGTGTGGTCCTATCATCCGGGTGAGTGTAGTCCTGAAAGGACTAGTTAGAGAGATGCGTCTAATATTGACTTTCGCTCAAATGAAACTGTGTATGTTAGACAAGGGGCAGAGATCTTTGGAAACATTGTTATTCACTGAAACGAGCATTATCGTTAATGCATGCATTCAAATCCTATTTGCCACACGACGCCGCGAGAAAAGAAAAAAAAATTAAAATTTCCGCCTAAGACAAAGTTGGAAATTTTTCTCACGAATTAAATGTCGAAGCCTGCAAAACAGTCGTAATATTTTTGCGTTTCCGGATTAACGGAGGCAAACGCTAGGTGAGTGGCTCAGTGGAAGAACATTGGAGAGCGGAAACCGAAGGTCTGAGATTTGATTTCTCATCATGCGGTGGGACTCAGAAATTATTCTTTGTCTCACGCTGGCGACTAGACGAAAAACATATTTCTATAAGTCAGTAGTCTGTATCTATGGGAGTGTACTTAACCGCTACGATTCGATTGTGCGAAGCTCGGAAACCTTGGGGATTAATTCCACTATAGAGTAATTTCCCTGAGTAAAAATCCAGCCAGTCCCTCAACACTGTGTCTAAT